TCTACAAAGTATGGCATATACGTCATAGTCAAGTTGCAATATTTTGACATATACTTATCGGCATGTACAAAATGACTTGTCTTTTTTCTTTGTACCTCAATAAATCAGAATGTTCACTTCAAATGCCATTGTTCTTCCCCCTCCAGCATTTTCTCCTCGTATATCCCTCCAACATTTTCTCCTCGGATTTTTAAGATAGAACACATCTTTTAAAGTCCTTCTTTGGTGCCGCCTATTTTGGCTATAATTGTTCCATTATCCTTTCAGGCAAAGCGCTCCTGTTTGGCTCATAAACTTTTGTCTACAAAGTTTAGAAACATCCTCAAAAAAGTACGGAGTGTGTCTTATATGATATTTAAGAAGTGTCACCAGCGTAGCTTTTTGAATGTTCTGGGTGCATCCTCCTACACAATGTGTCTTTTCTACCTTTTCTAAAGAACCCATCAAATCGCTTGCTATTGGTCAACAAAAACACAGACAAGAGCTACGGACGTTGCAATAGGTCAAAGTTGCTTCATGGTAACTGACGAGTTTGTGAAGTGAATAAAGCAACGAATTATCTCGGTTTGTGCTTTTCGTAGCTTTCAATAGTTCAGTTAAGTTTGAGTTAAACATATTTTTCTTTGAAACAATCAAGGTTATCGAAAGGCTTCAGTTATTTGACGAGCCGCATTAAGAAGAGCATAGGATCCAAAACACCACCTTGAGGGACACTGTCGATTAGACTTGGTTTCTGACTATGATTTTAACGACTCTGGAACACCTTCATGTTTCAATTATGATATCTTACATTGGCTTTTCATTACCTCTTCAAGCACAGTAGATTTTTTACGAAGCAACGTACAATGCCTGCCAAAAGTACTAGGAACACCCAGCAATTTACGCTTCATTCGATATCTTTCATTCCTTTCATGAAAAAAATTACTACTTCCGCCCCCTTCCCCCCTAAAACAATGTTGATGATTTAGAGAAATATCATAAGAGAAGCGCAAAAGAAAGTGCTTCCTAAAATCCTAACCCGTTTGATAGTAAACCAACAAAGTTCTGTACGGGAGAGGGGGGTGCGTGATTTTGACCTTGGAAATTGACGTCAGTGTTCCAAGACTTTTGCCAGGCATTGTAGTACAGGTTCTGACGTATAGTTTTTACTTGATCAATGTGATATTTACTTGAACTATTAACATGTTTGGGCATTCAAGAGATTTTGGCGGGCATGCAATGTACACAGTTTAAAATGTTTGCTCTCCTATAGGACTGTAACAAGATTTCTTCCTTCTAACATTATGAATTTGCACCGTTTCAAATTTGATTGATATGAATGAGGGAGACAAACACCTTCTTCGCTCAGTTCTAAAACTTAATTGCAGATGTAAGATCACATAAAGCACGCATGGAAACAAATAATATGGAAACAAAGTTTTTAGCAAATACAAGAACAAATAGATAAGACAAAAATATAATTTTAAATCACATTTAAAAAAGTGTACTTTTCAATTTACGTTAGGTGCATTGTTTTTGTCTTTTGGCTAGTGCAGGTGTTGTATAGCTCTCTAGTCCAGTAAATGATTTTAAACTCTATAAAAGTGAAACAATAAAAGTAAGATAAAGTTTTCAAAATTTCATTGAACATTAAAAACAAACTGAATAAAAAGATAGCAAGTATTTTGTCTCAAAACATTCTAATTATCTTATTTAAAAATCAATGCTAATTCAATAGTCAATAGCAGAAATCAAAAACTAATTCATAGACAATGTGATGTAATTAATTCAGGGATGTTAGAAGTAAGAATTAATTCAAAAGGAGAGGCAGGTAGGGGCCAATAGCTCCCCGAACAAATTAACAATAAGGCTGCTTGTCTTTTTAACTTGGTATTGGGTGGGAAACAACAATTACCTCCTTGTTATTTTAAAGACTCTTGCACAATCTTGCACAGCCAGCTATCTTGAGAAATTGATGTTTTATTCATGGAATTCCATATCAGGCCAGTTTTGAAAATATAGTCACAAAGCATGCCGGTTGGGCCAAGGAATTTAACCCCCTTATGTTATCAAGAATATTTTAGCATGCATATCCAAACATAGAATGGGTTATTATCAAAATGGTATCTACAAACCTCTTGAAATCTCTTCTTTACTAAATGCTGTATTTCTAGAGGCCATAGTGGGCCTAGTACCTCATTGTCTGAAAACAGGTACAGCTACAAGAGAACAAGCAACTTTGATTTTCTAAAGCAAAATAACAGATCTTGAAAAAATTGACATGGTTTTTTCAAAGTCATATAATAGTCATAATTTGATGTTGTAATGACATTGAAACAACAAAAAGGAGAATGATGTTCAACAAACTATCCAACCTTTTGCTGCCCATCTTCATATATCTGACCGGGTGCCCCAGCAGATATTTTTAACTCAATTACTTTATAATCTGTTTTGTTGATTGGATGAAAAATGATCCTGAAAGAAAAAACTTATTCTTAGATTTAGAACATAGATACTGTTTTGTCTAACTAAGTTATCATGGAACCACTCTGGGTTTGAAAGTTTTCCTAACTTGTCATCTGAAGCCCTGATACATCAGTTAACAAACAAAATGAGTCACTTTTTACAAAAATAGGCTATATTCAACAGGCTCTTAGTTGCCTGTCATAGCATTTACAAAACTTTGCAGAGAATGAACATAATGAATATGCTACATAATTTCTTAAACTGTATCTATATCTGGTATGAAGGAGCTTGGTTTTTGGTAGGCAGGCTTATTTCAAATTCCTTGGTCAAAAATAAATGCACATTTTATCACATAACCAGATGTATATTGGTTGATGGCGACAACAAGTTCTTTATATTCTGGGTGGATTATCTGGTTGTGCCAGTCTCTGGTATTGACTAGAAGTGTCAAGCTTGCCAAAGCATTACGTAACATGTCAGGCATAAAACAAGATGTTCACAGATTGGATCTTTTCTGAAGATTTATGCTCACAAATAGTGCCAATCTGAATATATTACGACATTAAATACATGCTTAGTGCTTGAGTTCAGTGGAAGATCAATAAAATATGATACCCAAATTGGCCATGGAACCATAGTCAATAGAGACAACTCTGGTCTGGAAGCCCATTGTTCTGTTCTTTTGTTCTCATCTAGAACTTGAAAACACTTTTATTCTAATCACGTGACCTAAGTAAGGGGACAAGATAGAACATTTTCTTCTCTCGCAATAGCAGATGCAGATAGTTTTGTGAGGCCCAGCGCACACAGGCGACCCATGAGTGTCAAAAACAATGACATTTGGGCTTTTGACAAAGTTTCTGCGTTTCAAAGTCTGTCTTCGCGATTAAAAAAACTAACTTTCAAAAAACATTTTTCACACCCTAAAACAGATGATAGCTGATTAAATGTGGATGCAAAAAAGTCGAATCTGATTGCTCTATTGTTTTTTCATCTATCAACTTTTCAACCAATGTTTCTACGTTGAATACTTTTGTTCTGTCCAAACAGAGACCGAGATACAACATTTTGTTTACTTTTTTGGGATAGGGGGAAGGGGTTGTAAAGCCCTGATTAATAAGTGTAGCAACAGCCAAATTTTAGAAAATAAAAGTATTTTACTTATGCTATTAAGTTTTTGGGGGGCAAGGCTCCTGGCCCCCCGCTATCTCGGTCCTTGGTCCAAAATGATGATGGCGAGGGCGCCCTGTTGTTTGTCCTTTGTGTATTCCTCTGAAAATTCTTTCATAAGTTTTTTGATCACACCCTATTTTGGCTCTTCGAACTTCAACCATATCTGTATCAGCAACGTACTCGACTTCATCAATGTTCCACGAAGGCTCGTATTTTTGTTTCAAAACTCTTATCAGGTCTAGACAGGACATTTAAGATTGCAATAATTGAGGTCCTCATTTCGCTTGAACATACTACAAAATGTGACTTTTGGAGAAACAGAGCATTGAAAATTTCTTAAATTTCTAAATTGGTAATGGTTTTCGCCAGGCGCGTAGCGGATGTTCGACGTTCAGGGGGGCTGAGCATGGATCTTCCCTGAAAATCGTTTCTTCATTGAGATAGAACTGTCCGAGTGGAGTCGGAAATGTGACAGTTTTGTCTGAGATAGGGGGGCTGCAAATAACCCATCCAATTTTTCCCCACGCCGATGTTCTCGCAACTAAAAACATCTCCAGATTCAATGTGACGCTTAAAATAATTGTTTACAGTCGTGTTATTCTTTCTATACCATTTATCCAAGCCAAAAAAATATTGTCAATTGCGTCGCGAAGTTCTAAGAAATCTTACTTCCGAGTAAGAATGGTGACAGAAATGCCCCATCCCTGAACTGCACAATATGAGCTGACCATAGTTTTAATAATATCAGCACAGAATAGATTGTAAAATTACCAATACTCTCGTGAAACATTCAAAACTCAACAACAATCCTACACACTTGTTTTCACGCGTCCCCTTACTTAGGTCACGTGATTTCAATAAACACGAACAAAGAGTTAGAACAAAAGACTTCCAGACCAGAGTTTTTTCTATTGACTATGATGGAACAGAGTAACAGAATAGAAAATTACTTTTTGGTTTATCCACTGTGTGAGAGAAAGGGCAAAGAAACCCTAGTTCTGAGAGCATAGCATGTGCATGGTCTGACATTGTATTCAGTGGCGGACACTTGGGGGGGAGAGGGGGGGCAACCGCCCCAAAATATTTTAGAGAACAATGGTCTTTTGTTCTAAAACAATAGGAAATGTGACGTCATCTTATTAACACAATAGGCTTGCCCCCCCCAATATTTGACCAAGTGTCCGCCACTGATTGTATTATCAAATTTGTTAAAAAAGAAGCTTAAATCATTCCATTAAAAATGAATTACAGGTATACCTATAGTTGAAAGGTGCATAAAATGGTTGAAAAGAACCAATAGTACAATCAACGGTCAGTCTATACTCATCTTCTCTTGTTCTTGAGACATAGACTCCTTCTACTCGTCCTAACAACAAAAGAGGTAAAAACAGATGCCAGTTATTTACAAAAAGGTGGGCAAAAAGGCAAAAGAATCACCATTTAATCAGAGCTGTGTATTCCTCACCATTTGATTATTTTGAAACAATTTTTTTTATTTTTACTCTTCCTTGAATATGGTCCACCTAAATCTATAAAATGATAGTATAGTACATGCCTTTATGAAGGTGTCCATTTTGCTGACAGGTGGCTTGTTTGGGTCTTATGGGTTAAACGGCATGCATATCTAAAGGCATCATCATAAAAAGTACCTATGGATCTAGCCCCAATGTTCCAATCATACCTCATGGCAGCTGGTGCCAGCACAGGCATTATAAATGTATCCAAGTAGCTATCACTAGAGCTGCTTTGCTCTATATTTTTCTGCAGAGTAATTGCTACATAAATTTGATATTTTTAAATTCATTTGTAATAACCTGGTTATAAACAAATGATAAATTCTCAAATTTTTAACAAAAACAGTTGAAGAATCAATATTTGCATTATTTAAATGTGGAATTATTTATATATTACCGCTTGTAGTTATTCCAAAATAAATAACACCACCATTTGCATTTATAAGTCCGTTTGAATTGCGTCTGACATCCTACAAAAAAATATGTGATGTTAAAAGATAATTCATAGCTTGCTACTTAACATCTTTCTTTAGAAAAATATTATTGTTATTTTTATCTTTTTCAACTTGCTTATCATCTCATATTTAAAAAAGTTTAATTCCAGTTTCACTCTGACATCCTAAGTGTCACTAGCAGGGGCACAACATGAACTTTCTGTACACTGTTAGATCCTCAATACCTCTAAGTTCTATTTATTTTTTTATATTTATGGATGTTTGTAGCATGTGTAATAACAAATATTCTAGTTTTCTCAACTTTCATAAACTGCCAGGGTGGAATCCATGTAACTTATGCTGGGGATATCCGGCGTGGACCTAAAATTTATTTGGTGTATTGTTGTTAAATGTAGAAAAATAGCGTTTTGATGTTAAGGTTGATGGGTTACATGTCCGGCGTGGAATCCATGTAAAGCTCACACCAAACAAATATACGCTAATAAACAAACGATTCCGCCTTGGTTTGATGCCTGTGTTTGGGCCAGAGGGTTAGCTTCCCTGTTTGACTTAAAAACAACCGTTGTTTGCCAAAAAGGACGATTAATATATTATGCATTGTATCTGTATCATACAACTTTTTTGTACTTGCTTTCAGAATTTTGAGCTCAAAGGAAAACAGTCGATTCTGCTTATAGTCAATCTGCTTAAAGTCACACTACACTTTACATCAATATTACGAAACAGGAAACGACAACGGTGACATGACACAATAATTATTAACTAGGACTAGGATCCTGCTCTAAGAAACACCAGGATTTTCATCTAGACCGTAAATGCATTATATAAGTATTTACCTGCTGAAAACGAGTTGCATCACTTATAAATATTGTGTCTTTATCCCTTTCAGGACGAAAAATGTGTCCTATCGAAAAAAGCTTGCCTTGTCCTTGGGCCATGTTATCATCAAATTTCCCGCCATTTCACTCCCCTGAAAACGAGATCGGTGCATGTCAAAACGAGGGAAATGGAAATCTAACACCGGGCACTGGGGAAAATGGGAAAAGTGGGGCATATTTTTGGATACAGGGCCTGCGCCAAGGGGCATGGCCTCTCCACCTTCAACCTTTCTTTGAAATACATATTTAAGCCAGCTCAAATTATTTCAGATAACTAAATCTGTAGATTACAACAAATAAATTCAACGAAAGTCCATTATCAAAACTGCTTCAGCAAAATTTTTGCTACGATTGGGGCTAGATAGGGAAAGAGGAAGCTTTCTCTAGTTCTCCTTTTGAGATAAACTCATTCATTTAAAGCTTTCTTGATTTTTATACTTGTCTATCCTACTTAAATAGCCTCCTAAAAGATGATGTCAGTTTGTTTTAGCTTTTCACATGCATTCTTTTTAAACATTATTTTATTCATTTGGGACTGAACTCTTTTTTAGGCATCCAGACTTAGACGATTATAGTCAGCAAAAACAAATAAGCTAATAAAATTTTTTGTTTTTAGGAAATAGGAAATAGGCTTTTAGAAAAGAGGCTAATTACATTTCTTCCGAAGAGGCCAAAAAGGTAAAAAAAGTGACATTGAAAATCAAATTTTTCAGGAGAGAATGCACACGAACCTCTAGTAATGTACTCCTTTGATGCACTTCTAAGTGCCCCTTCACTTTTGTGCTCCTTATAGTGTTTATCATCAAGTTTATCATTGTATTCGTAGCACAGTAAGAAGGTGGTAACTGTTGTAAGGTGTTTGTAATCTGTCTTATTACTTCACCTAGGAGCAACATAGTACCATTGTATATTCCGGTGTAACCATTTTTGCGCGGTTTGGATTTTATATTAACAACGGCATCGAAGTATGCAGACACTGTATCAGGTGCTGTCTGGCGTCAAAATCGTAGGGTGCCTAGAAAACTTAAAGGGTCCGGTTTAGGGCGTGGCGGGAAAAATTGAGCCACACCCGCTAAAATAGTGGCCTTAAAATAAAATTAATTTAATGAAAATTGATAATAATGCAATGTGCTTTAAAATCCCATGTAGAGTTAAGAATCAAGATCAAAATTTATTCAAGCTTTCAAAGTTTCAACTCTTTTCGAAGAAGTGCAGATGAATCAACAAATTGGTCAATGACTTGCTCGTAATCAAGTGGAAAGTTTTCTCTTCGCTTGAAATTATCAATAGCGCTGAATAATCTTTCACAGGAAACTTGGGTGCAGCTCAGTTTCATCAAGCATGTTGTATTCACTACCTTTTTTATAAGAACTAGTAAATTTATGTTCAGGCTCACTGTTCTTAATTTTTCGAATATCTGACGCAGGATTGTTTTTGATTATTTTTTAAATTAATATGGTGTAATCAGTGCGATTGCTAGCTTTTTCGTTCTAGGGAGATGTCCAGGCCTTATTTACCAACAAAGTGAGTGAGACAGCCTTCACTTGGAGATGAGATTGAATATTTATCGAAAAGTTCCCACATTTGGCTAAAAATCCTCGTATTTGGGATAAAATGTTGTTCAAAATTGCATTTCACAGTAACTCAGCCTTAGCTTGTTCTTAATTTGTTTGACCAATTTTGATGCTCATGTCATTCTCTAAACGAGCAATCTTGAAAAGAAGGCTCTCATTGCTCTCCTGCTTCAATTTTGTGTTGCTAAGCATTGCTAAATCCTGATACAAATCTCTATTCTTCGAGAACCTTCTGTCAGTCTCCTCCCATCTGTGTCTAAGGTTGGAACCAGACGATAATGATGACTCCTTATCTTCTCTTTTTTATTTCCTTTTTTGAACTTTACATTATTTTCACTTATTTAAGCCCCCTCCCAATAACTGCAGCCTAAGCTTTATGTCCTGTATAACAGTGTACTAAGTGGAAACGAATACAATGAGCAGCCGTTCCCATAGCACTGTCTCTGACATTTGCTGTTTCATACAATCATAATATGGATTAACAATGTAACTTTATAACTAAAGCATGGATGATTTTTTAATCAAGCAAATTTTTGTCCATTCCAGGTCAGATACCATGGGTACCAGAGCCACATTAATTAGAGAGCAGAAATAGAAGATAAGAGTACGCTCCATCGCTTTTTTGCATGTAATTCTGTTTACGCGCTCGAAATTTTGTGGTTCTGGTAACCAGGGAACACATAAAATTAAATACATGACTGAAATAACGGAAACTAGGGTTTTGGTGGTTCGAAGCGCATGTATTGGGACTTTGATCGCAATCAATCTAGGGCATTAGGTTTTTGACATTAAGTTAAAAAATTTTGTTCAACGCGGAAGGGCCCGTAAATGTTTTGCACACAGGGCCCGGATGGCGATCACCACTTTGCCATTCGGGCCAGACCGCCCCTGACAGTATCCCCACATTTAGCTACGTTCCTGCACCTCTGTGGGTAGGGGGTGGAGTTCCATCATTTTTCGAGAGTGCTTGCAAAGAAAAAGGATCTTCTTCCTGACGACTCTAATGTTCTATAATTTGACAATTTGATAATTTGATTTGAAGGTAGAAGTAGTTGGCTTACTTAGATGACTGAGTTGCATGGACGCAGACTTTGTTGGACCCCCGGGCCTTGAGCCCTTCATGGCAAAAATTTAGGGGGGTAAGGCTCTCCTGGAGAATAGGAAAGCTGGCTATCAATATGTTAGACTAATTTCTCAAATTCTTGGCTTCATGCATAAAGTACATCCAGGCACCGCAGAGCGTTGAGAAGAATGGGGGTCTAAAAAATTGGGGCAGGGGCTAATACCGAATAAAAGTGGCTAAGCCAATTCATTAGTGAATTTTTTGCATTCTTAGCAAAAAGTGGGGGGCTATAGCCCCAAGCCTCCCTTTCCCGCGGTGCCTGTTATCTCAAGAGATTTAATAAATATCAAATAATAACTTTTTTTCATCTGCGGTCGGGGGCTCCATTAGCACCTATGCTCCATTAGCGCCTATGTCTGCGCCTAAGTCTGCGCCTATGCTCCGTTGTAAAAGACAGCAAATCAGTAACCAATGATGGAGAGTTATTTGTGATATTTAAATATTTTTGTGTAAATATTTTAGAAAATACTAGGGGTATGAAACCTTGTTGTTGCTGACATTGATAACGATAATGGAATAACCGTTATAATGTGTAAGGTGAATTGTGATAAAGGCTTTCTGCAAGAAGCGAAAGAGAACCAGTCACCATGATAATAATATAGATGATAATGCAAATAGCATCACTATTAACTGCGGTGTTCCCCAAGGCTGTGCGCTTGTACCATTACTTTTCTTACTCTATATCAATGGCTTATATCATTCTTCTAATGTTTTTTAATTTTAGCTCTTTGCTGCTTTTAACCTTTTCGAAGCATATGTAAAGAGGAAAAAAATAGCTTTTTGTTTAAAACAATGGAATTCACTGGGACAGGAGGGGCAATTGCCCCCCCCCCTCCTAAATAGCATGTTTAGAAGGTCCTGTTGCTACTGATGCCACTACCTTATTAGCTGACACCAAACTTGACGTTATCAACTAAAAATATAAAAAAACAGCAGAATGGCTAATGGTCAGAAGACTTTCCCTGAAAGCCCCCTCCTGAAATGTCTCAAACTCAAACTGTCTTTTTACAAACCCAAGTAAAATTTTTTTACATATCATGGCTTCATAACTAAACGGACAATGAACTGAACTGGAAGTTAAACACAAAACAAAAAAGATCAAGATATCTAAAGGGGTCTAAGGGCATTGGAAATCCATATAGATTAAGAGGCTTTGTTAAAGCGTCTTAAAACTAACACGTGTTTATGTTTATATACGTATGTGCAACTATCATTAAATAATTTATTTTACTTGCTGTGCTTTGCTTAATATTACAGTAAGAATTGTTATTTTCGCTTTGCTTCTTGCTGTTGAACACCCTGACTGGTTGTATGGCTAAACATATGGCCATGCTTGTTGAACGCAAAACAATTTGTAACAACCACAAATGACGTTAGCTGCTTGACAATTCTTGGCAAGGCTATGATTTTTACCTATATTCTAGGAAAGGTCAGAAGACCTTGAAATTTTATCCCGTGAAATGAATTTCTATTATTAAAGTTATTGGAAACTTTACAAAATGTAAAATTCTCTAGCTATTAGGTGTTTCTATTCCCGTTACAGGTTCAAAGGAAAACCCAATTCCAATTCAACAGGCTGAATATAAATTATTGTTTTAAAGCTCAAAGTTGGTAATATTGGAGTCGACGAAAATGAGGTCAGCCTTCTTGTTAGAAGAATTTATTTGGGAGATATTCCGACATAAATTGAGGCCTTTCGTGGTGTCAAATGTAAAACGACTTACGGTTATGGTTACGTTAAGAAAGTTTTGCCGTGAGAAGTAAAGTTTTGCCGTGAGAAATAAAGTTTTGCCGTGAAAAAAGAAAGTTTTGCCGTGAGAAAGTAAGTCTTGCCGTGAGAAAGTAAGTTTTGCTGTGAGAAAGAAATTTTTGCCGTGGCACCTGTAGGCCACCGTAGATCTTTAATAAAAGGCGATCAAAGTTTTATCATATAGTTTTGAAAAACTCACAACAATGAGATAAAATGTTTTGTTGTGTATCGTACAGTCATCTTTCCGGTAGGAAACTCGTTACTTTCGAAGAGTTAAAAATCGGAAATCGTACTGAACCACACAATAAGCATGTTTTGAAGATGGAGGGTTCAAGATGATAGCGGGTGATGGCACAAAAAAGGAGAATTCACGACTTCCGATAACGGGGGCATAGGGGGTATGCATTTCGATTTTCGCGGAAAGACTATTTGTTGTAAATAGTTTGCCACTCCCAGCTCCCATTCCCTGGAAGTTGAAAAGTGGATATTCAATAATTCTAATTTGACATTTATTAAGAAGCGAAAAGTTATCATTTAGACAGACTGCAAATAGGCTAGCTTCAATGTTTTTTAAAATCAGAATTGTAATTTATTTCCTGTCAAGTCCGACAAAAAAATACGTCATTAGAAGAACTAGCGGCCTAATATTGCTGCCCATAGCTTTATCTTCATATAACCGTGTGTCTTTTAATCATCAACTTCTTCATAAGAAAAGATATTAAATATTTGATGAAAATGTTGGCATTTCGAAATCTCAGGATTAGCTATTCTAGGTACTTCTTTTGCCTGAATACATTCTCTGGTTGCTAAAGATGAGACAATGTAAACATTTGCTCTGCAGGAGAAATCAAAGTTTGAATTTCGCGCTATTTTCAATTTCGAGCCTGGATGAACACAGACAACTGTCGAGTGGTTAGTTGTTGCGGTAACAGCGGGTTCGGCATATTCACCACTTTATTGATGGTCAAAGAAGTAGGAAATTGACGGAAAAATAATTTTGTTGACAGTTTTATCGTCTGAAATGAGGAAGATAGAGGATCTTTTGTGAAATCTGATTATTTACATCAACGTTTTCGTCACCATGGCGGATGCTGCAGACAAGCCTAGGCCATCAAGCAAGGTTTGTTTGCTTTGGATTTTGTGAAAGATCGCTAAATCATTGGACGTAAATCTTTATTAATTTTAAACTTTCTTTAATTTTAATTATAAGGGCGGGGAGAATGAAAACTATTCATTCAACTTTGGTAACTTGATTTAGATAAAGAGTAGTAGTGGTGACGTATATGTTCCGCATTTGATTCAAATTTGCCATGAAAGTTTCAATTGTTATTTTCAGTTAACTATTTCAAACAAATTTGTTTATCTTACAACCTTAAAAAAGCGCTAGGGAAACCATGATTTTTCTTTTTTTGATTTTGCATGTAAATAAAGCTGTTGTGATTGTTCAATGTTATGGCCGTTTTGTGCAAATCTTTCAATAGATGACTATTGATTCTGTACAAACTGTGTCAACACCGTTGACCATAACAGGTATACGCCTTCTTTCTTCCCTACACACTCTTAAATCTGTCAGGTTGATTTGAATTATCATATTCCTAGCAAATCTAAATTAAAACTTTGATAACTTCTGTGTCATTAAAAGTTGTTTTTGGAATAGAAGCTGCTGTATTACTACGAAAGTTTTTTGCAAACCCAGTTAAATTTTAAGAAATCTTCGGTTTTTCACTGGGCATGGCATTCTTTAAAAGATGAGAAAATCGGAATGATTAATAAAGCGATCATGTCTTAAAAGTTTGAAGGTATTAAACTTTACTGAAAGCAGATCCTGGCTAATAAATTTTCTAAGAATTAGCAATGGACCTGAAACAGCTATGCATTTTCTGTTGATTTAATTCTCAAATAGATTTAATTTGACTCAATTTATATTAAAATTGATTAATTTCTTTAAAATGCTTTTTATTGTACTCAGCAACCTGAATATGTTGAGAAATAAACTCATTATGTAATGGTATGAAATCAGAAGCCAACTTTATTTAAAAAACTCAAAATGAAGACATTACCTTCCTGCAATGCCTAGCAGCTTGTTCTGCCACAGTTTTTTATTCCAATTAGTGATCTATTGAAATAAATAAGAATAAAATAATCAAGCTGTCTATACCTTTCAGTTTGTCATATTTTAACCCACTAATATTTTGACATATAATAATTTTTCAAACTATTTATCTAAGAGCAGAGTTCTTAAGTGTATTGAAAACTTGGCTTCAAAGACAGAATATTGTGAGATGCTAAGACACAAAGTTTCCCATAAATAATCTTTTTGGCTTTTGGTATGACATAGCTTCTTATTCTTGATGCAGAACCATGTTCAAGTCTTCAAAAAAGGTTTGAATTTCTTATTTTCATCTGGACCTGAAAAAAGCTCTATCGTATCTTCTAAAACCCAGGGTCATCAATGCTTCCATGTCAACCTGATTTCATTTTGCATCAAATCTTCTCTACTTCACTAAGAATATCTTCTGGAGATGATATTCTACATTTTACCTCTACAACAGGCCATCATCTCAATTAGACTATTTTATCTTTATCCTTTGATATCCATATTCAATTATTTAGTCAATGGAAGTTCTTATTCAATACAACTGTAACACTAAAAATGTAGATGTTTTATCCATCATATTGTGTGATGCAATCTAGGTGAAGCAGGTAATCAAGTCCTGGATATTAACTTTTCCTCTATCAATCTTTATTCAAGTCCTAATACATTATCCAGTTTATTTGTGAATGACTTGTGACCCTATTCAATTAAAGCACCTGTCTTTAATGCAGCTAGATTTCCTATTAAGTCAGGATTTCAAATTCAAAGGCAGATAATGGATGCTAGTTAGTATTTGCCAAATCATCAATTGTCTTCTTTGACTGCATGACACAAAAAGTTTCAAGGTCAAAGGGTTTGTGTCATAAATAGTTTTGCAGACTCATTGGCTGGAAATATTTGTGATGAAAAATTTCCTTTTAATTTTGCTTTAACCTTTTTCAAAGATGTAGGTTGTTTTGGGCAACAATGTAAAAATTGAAGTTTTGACCATCCAAGCGTTGTCATGCACTTCTGTGCATATAGCCATTATTGATTCATGTTCTCATTTTTCTGCTCCTTAAGCATGGTTTTCAAATATTAAACATTTTCTTGTTTTGTTGAAACAATTTCCTAATACAGGATCTTTGAATTTGGATCTTCTTACCTTTGCTAGTTGTTTAAATTTTCTAATTGATATGGTCATGCCATATTTACCTTCAATTCATTAAAGACAAGCAAACAAAAATATAATAGAATACCTTGGTCATCTCATATCAAAGCTTCATAGACACCACAAGACAGAAAGAGTCTGCTTTGGCTGATACTTTCTGTTTCAGAAAATTAATTTCTAACCGCTAAGTGATTTTATGTATCACCAATGACAATTCTGGTGAATCAAACCACAAATCATTCTGCTCTGTAAAAATCTATACATTTTTCATTTAAGCATTGTGGGTTGATAACATCTGTTTTCAAGATATACGATTCCCAGGTAAAAGAAAAAAATTAGAACTGCTTAAAATCTACTCTTATTTCATTTTCCATCTAGTATTTGGAATTGACTCAAAACCATGGTTTTCCTATTGCCCTTGGCTTAGTATTACAGTGATCAAAATTAATATTGGTAGTCTAAAATGTTCTTTTGTGATTTTCAGTGTTTTGGTAAATAAGGCAATGAAATACTTGCTATAAATTAGTGATGGTTGATAGAAAAAAGATTGGTTTACTGGAAACTCATTCAATGATTACAGTCTTCTGTTTACACCTGAAAGAACCTATATTTAGCAGATTAATAAAGCAATCAAATGGTCCAAGGCAGAAGGAGTTAGGTGGATTGGCATTAGTGTGGATTAATCGACCGTTCATGTTTGATTTATAATCTCTTGCATAAAACCTTAGCCATACAACAGGTTATTATCGTTTATAAGGTCGAATTCTGAACGCATACAAAGATAACAAGCTAACATGCTGAGTGGAACTAAATCGCAAATCCGGCAAAATAATCCAGAGAATTGGACTGCTAAACCAGATTTGTTATCGATTTCGCATGCAGTGTTCCATCTGCTGGAGGCATAGCTAAACCAAAAATGCATGGTATAGGCGGAAAAATCCTGATATTGTTATGTTGAACGCCCATTGTTCCATTGATAACAAATTTGAAAACACGCTACTTATTTAATTTGAAAGTTCCGTACTATGCCAAATATTAGATTGAAGTAATATGTAATTTATCTCCCTCAAAGCCGAGAAGCACCCAGTCAATTGATACTTTTTAACCTGACGTAAATAAAGATATGTAACGAATAGTATAAATAATCACTGATATTTATTAACATTTAATACTGATATTTATTGATACCTTTTGTGTGAAATACCGATTTCCGTTTCAAAACCATAAAACGAAGAAGGAATGCCAAAGACAGCTATTGCCCTTCATGCACTGCCCTTCGTTGGGACCATGTTATCACTGTGTATGTTAATGAAGTTAAGCGTGCGATGTGGATGATTTCTGCACCCTTTAACGCGTAACTCTTAGGGATGGATTCAAGGATGGGGGGATGTGCTAGATAATGATTGGATTTTGGTGCCGCGCCCTCCAGCCGACTGGAAAATGATGTTAACACCCATTTTTATGTGTCATTTGTTGCTACTGACAACAAAAAATGTTTTTTACCTAATCGAAGCAGAATTTACCAAAGGATACAAAAATATTGGGGGTGTCGCACAAGGGAGGCTACAGGGGCTTAACACCCCAATAATTTCCTATATGTATACAAAAAATCGTCCTTGCGTTGGTTTTAAGCATGTTAAGCCCCCACAAAACGTTTTAGCCCCCTCAATCTGTAATATGCTCTGTGGTCCTTGTGGACACAAGTTGTGTCGCAACCCCACAAGTTGTGTCGCAACCTCACAAGTTGTGTCGCAACCCCACAAATTGTGTCGCAACCCCACAAGTTGTGTCGCAACTCGACTGTCTTTGCTATGGCTTTGTTATGTTGCAAGTTTTTATAATGCAAGAAACATATTTTGAAACCCTCTTTCTTTTTATCGTGATTGTTGCTATTTTCTCTTGCATCCTCTGCGTAGGGTTTTTCCAAATTTACTGTGGAAAGTGTAATGATGGTCCTTATGCGAACTGTTAAAAGTTTTTTAATGTAACAGAACAAAATATAATTCAAATTCAACCCACTTTTTGCTATTTAAGGCACATTCGTTGAAATGTTTATGACACAATATTGAAATTTATAATGCTAATTATGCTAATCATACCGCCAATCGCCATACTAATTATGATGATAAATGCAGTAAAAGGTTTGTAATTATGAAGGAAATGAAATAATTTCAAAAATATGAAGTGACATTATTAGGATTTATAAATAACCACAGCATTTGTACAGAATGATTGGTATGAAGCAAGGATAAAAAATAATCGAGATATTTTTGTATAAACCTATTGATTCGTTCACCTGTGTGGCTGCTATGCCTTCCGTTTTCCCATATCTTCCAAAAGTTGTTTGCAAGCTGAGTGATTTTGCCAAACTCACTGGGTATTGTGTAATAACCAACAGTTTCTCTACATTCGCAAGCGTAAACATCATTTGATCGTTGCAGGAAATTTTGTTTTATAAACAAGGCAGTAAATTCCCAGTAGTAGTAAATAAACAAAACGACTAAGAATGTTCATATGAAGATCTGAAAAGGATTTACGAGAGCTAATGACTGCAAATATTTATTAATATTTTCGCACAAAGAACAGACAACAGCTCATTAAGTAACATACCCATGAAAAGAAACTTTATGCAGCTGAAATTTTCAAAAATTGTGTACAATTACCAAAGTTGGTTAAAGCATAATTAAAGCAGATTCACTTCTTTCTTTAGATCTTTGTTTTGTTGTTTTTCTTTTATTTTCTACAATGTTGTTTTATGGAGAAGACAAATCTCCCAGTAATATGTGTAATTTGCAGTTAAAATCCTTGATGATTATTACATAGAATGATATTGCATCGAGCCATCAGAATGTAGAGACCATTTGCTTCTTTGGTCAATACCACAATTTGCAAAAGTTCACCTCTGGTACTTTTATTGTGGTCCACAGTTTTTTGTCAAAATTGTCTTCCTCTTTGTCAGTGGTAGGATGAATTCTTTGTGGATTTTTATATCGTTTGAAATAAGTGACGCTCCCTTTAAGGAGTTCTGTTTGGAGTGAAAAGAAAAGTGTTCTTGAGCAGTGAATCTTTTTAATTTGCGGTTTTTATTCAATTTCTGATTTCTGTTATCTTACCAATTTCTGATTTGTGTAGAACCCTTTTAGCAAGAATGAGATGCATCTTAGTAGATTCTTTCAATGGAAGTAATAACATATATAGAACAAATTCAACGTTAACAAACATAAGAATAAAACACGTAAGGTGTGATAATTGCTTTGAAGTAGACGTGAAAATACCTATCTATAGTGGTCCTTAGCTTTTCTTGGGAATAACAAAGGTTTTTTCTGCGCAGTTTTTCAAACTTACAAAAATTGGAACAGCTAATAGGTGGTTTTACCAAGGTTATTTGTTTCTTATTGTTCGAGAGAAGTTTGTTTCGTTCCATATATTATTGTACTGTAAAACTCCGATATCCTAACAAATTATCTTATACTTAAATTTGTTTTTGGCACTTTATCCACCTTCGCCTTTAACGCAATCTCTGATTCAGAATGTCTGTAAGCAAGCAACTTTACATCTATGTCAAGTAAAATTTCCTTGGGTATTTGGCAGAACAAAGGATACCGACTTCATATTTCCAAAACAGTCACATTGTCTGAATATGGTGTGGCTTAAAAATCTAGATTTGCAATCATGCGCTGTTCCTTTTTTCGATGCTGCAGCTGCTAGCACTTGCAAGTGATTCGCTGCCGACGATAGTGCATTGGTTCTCCCGGATAGAGGATTCAATATTCCTCATTCATCTTTACGAAATATGTTTACATTAATCAATTGCCTTTGCAATCATAATAAGATCAAGGTGGATCATTAAATTTTAATGTCGGTTAGTCGGCTCAG